TCAAATATTTTATTCCAATTCATGTCCCAGTTTTATCCAAATAGGGTTCACAGTCCAGGACTGGTATATGGGACAAGAGAACGCGCTTCCAAGTACCAGTATCAGCCATAACACTGCGGAGACTGTTATAGCTTCATTTGGCACGATAATTTGGTACTCAGCCTAAAATGCTAGCAGGGCGCTATCTAGTGGAAAATGGCGAAAAAACGAAGTGAAACGGTCGAAAACTGCGAAGAAAAGCCTTCGTTTTGAAAAGCAATTTCGGACGAGTTTCCCGTAGGCATATTGCAAATAACCGCTACGGTAGGTACGGCTGCATGTATGTACTCATATATCCATGCAGCACCGCAGCCGCTTCATACCAATCCCTTCGCTTCATATTTTACTTCGCAAATGAAGCAATGAAGCATCAGGTACGGTCGTCCATTTGTGGGCGGGCGGGCGTGGTGGGCGTTTGGGTCGGTATGTTGTAGCCTGATAGGAACCTTATAAGGGTACCTTCCTAGGAAAAACCGGTGCGCAGCGCCTGCTCAGGGTCGCGGAATTCCGCCCTGCCAAGCGTATCAATCCTACTCGTCTTTAGAGGATTTATCGTGCCAACTGCCTTTAAGAAAAAACTGAAACACAATGAGCTGATGACTGGGAGAGGGATCTTCAGGAATTTTCTGACTATTCAGAAGAAGAAGCAAGGTAAAAGTGCGAAAACTGTGGGTTCAGAGGGTTGATCTGGTGTTTGGTGCGAATTTCGGGCGCTGTTTGGCGACGAGGGGGGGGGGGCATTTTGTACTATCATTGCTTCCTTAGTTCCGGTTTACAAGTCTCACTCTGGCGAAACCTGTGAACTCTTGTGAAGCTGGAGCAAGGTCGTCAAGCCATCATTAAAACCTGTCAACTCGAGAAGAGGCTGTCTAGATAGGTCGACACGTCGATGGGAAGTAGCAAAAGTGCAAAATGCCCTCCCCATCGCCAAACTACGCCGCATTTTGTATAAAAAAGCTCACCACATCAGCGCACGACGGACCGCATTCCACTTCTTCGAGCTTTACCGGTATATTTCTTGTCTCAATATCCCTCAAGATACTTTGAGCCTCTGCCATTTCCGGTAGATCAGAGTTCGCTATCTGAAACTTCTCAGGGTGAGAAAAAAATGACTGATAGAGAATTCAGCATTTAGCTAAGAGCTGTTTTGGTGTAATGGCTTATGTTCCTACAATTAGGACTACACCAATTGATGCTTACATCTCTCAGGATGCCATCGCTTGTTCTCAGATACGCTCCAAGGTTCTGAGTGACTTGTGATAGGGAATAGGAAAGACCGTCATCGCCCATGTAACTCAAATGTTTGTCGCAACACCATGCTCTTACAACCCTGAAAAATTAGAATTATTGGGAACGATGAGGAACTCTTTGGTTGGTTGAGAGATTCACATTGTGAACACCCCGGAGAAAGAGGCAAAGAGAATAGGTGCGCGGCACCCGCACCACGAGCTAAGTGATTTCTTGTAGAACATGTGTAGTACATCGAATCAGCTAGTTAGAAAATAGTAGCTGGTCGATGAATTTCGACCCCTACCAACCCTTGTTCTTTTAACAGTACTAACATCGCCTCTATTGCACTGACAACCCGATGCTGGTAGAGGAGGTTGTGTAGCATTTGACGTGAGTCACCCACTGATAGAGCGATATCCGCGACCTGTAAATTATAGAATAAAAACGAGCATTAAAGGGGCTACTGCGACACACTGACACTCTTTCCGTGAATCCTCGTTTTTGGGTGTGGGAAAATGCGTCCACTGTGTGTGCCACTTTGCCGCCTAAAAGTGCCACGGCAAGGCTGCAGGAGTAGAGGCACTGCTGTATGGCCAAGCACACAACTTAACTATGACCAGACGCTCACTTGCCTGCGCCCTCTCATTTCTGGCTGTCCTATACCGCTGAGTACGTGATTCGCTGAAAGACCCTGGTATTGACGCAAGGGCTGCTTCTTGATTATAGCGCGGGCGCAGCATGAGGACGGCACTCGGATAGCGCTATTCTATACCCATATTTCCGAGCACTTTGAGCGAGAAGTGACACGCTACTACAGCTGCGGACCCATTCGCTTCGCACACTGCAGGGACCTCAGAAGAGTGGGCAGTTTCTTCAGAGTGAATCACCCAAAACTGATCAGATCAAACCTTTTTAGCGTAGCATATCCGGTGATATCCACGGTGGGGATCCGGCAGTACTTTAGCATTTTCCATTAATCTTTCAAGGCTGTGCTGAAAACAGCAAAATAGATAAATTGCGTGGCACCGACTAATACCTTCATGGAACGCGCCGGGCATTCAGCTCCCATAAGGAGTCGTGTTGGAACCTAACACCCAATGCGCGCTTGTACCACAACAACTTGCATGGGTTAAAACAATCTGCATGCCAGCATTTTTTTTGTAATCTCCCAGACGGATATGCAGGCTGCTTGACAGATGATATACAATGACTGCAGGTGTTGACGATCAAACGTAAACAGTTTAGGAGCATTTGGTACTGAAAAACGCTTACCCCTCCCCCCGCCCCCCCGCCATTCCTCAAGCTAACGAAGGCCTTCAATGGCAATCGAATGCACGGTATCTCAAAGAATTAATGAATGTTCATCACTATTTTTGTCTTCGCTCTGAAAATATCTCTTGCAAATATGTACCATGTTCAGAGGGATCGGGATACCGGCGCTGAGTGAATCTCTGACGAGATAGTCAAACTTATCCACATCACAGGAATCGTTGTCGTTGGCAACGATATCAAAAGAAAAATGACTTCTCCACTGAACGACCACGAGGCAGCCATCGTCCATTTGAGTCCTAAATGGGCTGAGCTGACCCACCGCAGAACCACTTCATTCCATACCATGAAGATAGGAGGGGCGTGGCTGCGAAGTCCATTTGAAAATGGCGCAGGATGCGTTTTTTTCTAGGGGATTCCCCATTTGGAACAATATCCTGTGCTGGAGAAATACTTGATAACAAAGGTGCCAAAATGGCAATCTCCATTCAGAGCGCAGCCGCCGCCACAATTTGACGAAGGACGTAGCCACGCCCTCCCCATTTCCAGGATATGATATACAGAGCTATAGTAGAATGATCGCCAGGCTCTATTTTTTCCAATGTAAACAATTTTTAACTCCTTCATAATATGCATTATTCTTACAAATTTCTTCGACGATATAAGCTCTTCAGTGAAGGTTATGTTCTGTTCGAATTCGTCACCTTTTCCAAGGTATTCTTCCAGACTTTCGCGAATTTCCTTCACGTTGACGATACGTCGAAGTAAACGAATCGATAAAGATTCATGCTGAGAAGAAAAGTAAGACGGAATAACACACTAAATGAACCTTTCCAGGTCCACTGTATATTTAGTGGAATGTAATGATAAGGGCGGAGGTTACGTAGTGCAGCAACAGGCGCTAATTACCACGCAACGGTCGTCCGAGGATCGGGCATAGGGCTTATTCGGAATGGGGCCAAACGAGCATTTCTTCACGCTGGAGTAGGACAGTCGATCGACTCAGCGCACAGCATCGTCGAGAAAATCCCAGCAGAGAGCAGGGGTGGTAGTTGATCTTTGGGGGAGGGTCGCATTTGTTCCTGCCACTCGGTCAGACACCCTCATTGTAAATTTCACAACCATGTCGTACAAGTGGTTTGAATTTGAACCTGTGAATTTTGAATTTATCCCCGGAGCTAGCCTGAACACAAATATCGGATCAACCGCCCTCTAGCTGCTTCGCCAGTGCCAAAGAAGGACTCAACGTCACTGTTCTTAGCGTGGGTGTCACTTGTTTTCGCTTCGTGTGGTTTTAATAATGGCGTTAGGGGCCAAACCACTCCTGAGACACCTTCCAGCAAAATTTTGTGTTCTGGGATGCTTTGCTACGACGCCTGTTGTGGAACAATTCAACGGATCTATTGTTCCTCTCGGGTTAAACTACTCTGAGGAAAAATCACCAGTCAAAGCGGATTTGACCCAAAATTCAAAACCTGGGGTCGTACAGGGCGAAAAGTGTTAATCTAGATATCGCCACAGAAGGCCAATAGAATTATCAAAAAATCAAGGGAAATAAACAGTAAGCTCACCGTATATTTAGCTGCTCTGGAGGCCTCCCGAAAAGCTCCATCAAATAAATGTGAGAATGGGCCATGACCTGAAATGTTGCCTATTGCATGTTTTTTTTAACCTTGATTCTTCACTCCACTTGTTTTAGAAAGTACATTGGAGGTGAGAAGCGAATTCCACGCCGACCATAAAATCAGCGGTCAGCGGTACCATTGCTGCACCGTTTTGCCAGAAAGGATGGCAGAATCGTGCGACTGACTCCGCCCACACGATCGGCGCGGAACGGGCCTTTTAACTTCATGCACTTACCAAGATCGTGACATAGTGCCGCTAAGGACACACAGAGATGATCCTGCCCAGTAATGTTCAATGAAGGATCCCGTTTGAGAATCTCAACGAATTTGAAAGCCAACCAATAGGTCCTAAAAAGATCCTCTCAGTTTTGAGTTTCTAAAAAACTATAAAAATGTTTAAAAGTTAAAAAAGTTCCTAGAAGAAGTCTTGACTCACCCTAAACTATGTACAAATCTGCTATGAGTGCTACAAGGATACACCAAGTAGGTGACTCCTAGTTGTTTCAAATCTCGGAGACGTTGAAATTCTCTCGTATCCACTATCCGATCCAATGGATGAAATAAACAGATTGGGCCATGAACCATATCCTGGATTTGGCGTTTCTAAAAGAAGCATTGAGAACGTTTCTTATGGGAAAACTTTAGAATTTGATTCTAAAAAAAACAATATAACCACTCACATCTAAGAGTGGAGGCCACTCCTCTGGACGATCGTCTCGCATTTTCATGCCTGGAAAAACAAACTACTGCTAGAGTCCACACGTTGGCATACCAGAAACAGGTACGTAGTTTGGCCTGCTAGGGTGGGGCATTTTCGTGCTGCGCATACTTCTGCCCATCAACGTATTCGAGCCGTCTGCCTTTCATAAGATCACCAGATATGCTTTATGGTGGTATCAGGTGGTATCACTTCATGGCTTTGCAAGACACTCGCTACATAATGGCTCGACACGACAATGGGAAGGAACGAGAAAGATGCACCAAAATGCCCCTCCCAATCCGAACTCCGCCAAAATTTGTACTTCAGAGCGTGAAATCATGGACGGTAAGGAACAGTAGTGTGAGCGTTACAAAGTAACCGAAAGAATGAGCAGGTGTACATTATGTTCCCGGAATTTTTTCTTCAATTCCTCTCAGAATGTCATCGCAACTGAGTTCGTCAACTAAGGTGTCACCGTTGACAATTGAAGGTGCCTCACAGCGGTTGTTTGGTCGGAGTAGGCCCTACAATTATGTCCTCTTCACCGATCCACACCTCTCATCTTCACCGCTCTTACAAAGCAAAGTGATAAGGCTCTCGGTCGCAGCGCACAAATGACGACCGGTCTGCTAAAATGAACTTCATAAGCCAGTTCGCTTGACATCGAGCGATAAGGCCGCTGGTTCAATTCCTCTTTGGATGCGCGCATTCATTGTGATTTCCATCCAGAATTTCCCAAGTAGCGCCTATGCGAGTGCGATTTACCCACCACAATGGTTGTGAGGTAACAATAAGAGATCAAGTCGTACCCGGCAACGAAGGCTGAGAAAAATTCGATTGAACTGGCGGACACCCGAAAGCTGACCCGCGGGACCGCCGTTCGGGGATTGTGCTATCTTGAAGTGGCGGGAAATCAACCCCCTCCCCTCTAAATCCAGCGATATTCCATGCCAATGCCCCACGTTGACCATGCCAACAAGGGTGAAACATGGAATGATGGCGATTGCTTTTGCCAAACTTCACTCAAAAACAATGAGAGTTACTCAAGCCATCTCCAAAGGAAACAAAGAGGCGTGGCTGGTTTGGTGGGTCGGGGCCCCAAATAAAAGGCCGAAGTCGAATTACACACTTTCGGAGAACTGGCAACCCCACGCGTGCAGCATCGTGATGGCGAAGTGGTGGTGTAGCTACGACCCCCTCCCCCGCCGCCGCCTCCAAGAGGAGGTCTCGGTAGCGGTGATCCTCGCTCCCATACAATGCACCATATGACCCCCCAACCTTCCAGCAGCCCAGCAGAAAAGTACGCTCCCCTAGGCGTTTCACACAACCATGCTGTACCCTGATTGGCATGGAAGTACACATTGAGGAAACGCCTGTTTTCCCCCCTCTGATATAAGGCACGGAGTGGTGAGAATCAAGTGTACAGAACCCTCCTCGACCTCACGTACATGAAAAATAAGGTCAGCACCCCATCAGATCAGCCAAATCACCGTCAAATTCCATCAACAAGCCAAAACGCGTATACCCTCCCCGAAGCTGCTAAAATGCAGCCCACCGTTGACGATTCCTCAACCACGCCCCACCCTTTCCAAAAATGTCAAACCGTGCGAAATCCCCTCCAGAAAAAACAGTTTTCAACGCACTGAAGCATAAAATCGATTATTGAGGAGTGGCGTACAAAAAATTTGGAAAGAATGTTATCGCATTTGTTTTCATCCCAGTGCTTCATACAATCAATAACGAAAAGTTCATCGATTGATTCTTCCATGGAAATCATGTGAATTACACCCTTATCGAACGATACTAGCAAAACATCAGTTGGCGGAACACAAACAGGAAATGAAGGTCATTTTCGGTGTATGAGAACGTGTCCTTCAAAGATAAGACGAAAGTTCAAAGTCACACAGATCACGCTTCACGAAGGTGTTCACTAAAATAAAAGCAAAAGCTGGATTCCTAAATTGCAACTGCATGGGTGTTCGCATTTACAGACATCGGGCTGATATAGTCTTATTCTCTGGGGCATGCAAGGGCCTGGGCTTGACCTAGCGTCAATCTGTTCACCACCGATTGTTGAAGCGAGCAAGGGACACTAATTGTGAAAGATAAGCTGGCGCCGCGCCAAACCCGGACCCCCTAACAAGCCTCAGTTTCTGCAACGAACAAGACTGTATATACAGGGGGGGCAAAAAAAGTCACTTCGACCGAGTCACATATCAGCAAAGTTTTCGCAGCCCAGACAGAGGACGTGGATACGAGTACCAGGGCGGAAGATACCCAAGATGTTCCTCGATAAGCAGGAGCTGGCTCTCGCCCATCATGAAGTCATCTCCAGTCGCAGCCTGACTGGAGAAGACCTTTGGAATTCATGTCACCTCCAAACAGCTGCGAAACTTCTAGTATGGAGTCACCCATGGATAGCTACCTGGAGACCAGTACTCTCGATCTGGAAGACCTCCAACATCGCTCCGACAACGTCGCTACGGTCTAGGACATCATCACCACAGTCGCCAAGGCGCGGGTTGATGGTATGGACCGGACGTACCTGGAATGGAAAGACCGATATTTTCTTCGTGGACCCCGGACTGAAGGTGAGCGCTGGCGGTTACATCGAGCAACTCGAGAAGAATATCCTCCCCACATGTCGTCGCCCGTACCTTCTTGGAAACTTTGTACTGCTACAGGATTGGGTGACACCACATGGAATCGAAGGGCGTTGGAAAAACTCTCGCCTACTTGGAATGGAAGGGCGTTGAGTACCTGAAGAAGATGGAATATCTAAGCAGGTCACCTGACCTAAACCCCCTCAATTACCTGGTTCGGGCGGAGTTCAATAGGGTGGTCTACAGTGGCGGAGAAATCAACGATCTCGCTGAACTCAGGTACGGTCGCGTGGCAGAATCTCTCGATGGCGCTCCTCCAGAAGGCTGTGGCGGAGTATCATGATAGTATTTAATATGCTCTTTAATATGGTGGTAGAAATGTCCGATCAGAATTAATAAAGTGTAACTTATAGCGCCTCGAAAGTCAAGGAAGAAAAGTGTCTCTCTTTTTTTCCTTGACTTTCGAGCGCGCTATAGAGTTACACTTTGTTAGATTCTGATCGGACGTTTCTGCCGCCCCCCCCCCCTTCTATTACATTGGAATTCTCGAGAAGCGGTAGCGAGGCTGCGTACTTGAATTGAACGTAGTGGCGGCTGAGCTCTTCGTGGAATACTTCGATTTTTGGACAATTGTAATCAAGGTTTTTGTCCAACGCGAAACAGGATGATTGCGTGACGGTAGTATAAAATTAAATCCTACGAGTATTTCACCCCATAAATGTTCAAATGGTACGCCTACTTCGTCTCAAGGATAAGTAGTGTAGATGTGTGAGGATCCACCGAGTTCGTAGACCTGATGTCGTCCCTCTTCATGCCTTCTCGGTTCCAGTGGTGAACTTTCCGATGGTTAGCTTATAGCAAGTAAAGTCCTGACAGAAAACCTTGGAAGCCCTGTGGATTTCAGCAAAAGACCCCCAAATGAACAGGAAAGAGGAGTGTGTAGCCATAACCCGTGAACTCGCGCTCTTTGCCGACCTATGCGGTTTTTGACCTACATGGTCGAGGCCGAGGTCGCGGAGTGGAGGTGGAAACTCACTGTTAGTAGTACTGCAGCTTGGGTGGTCGATCTCACGTCATCGCGGCTGAGATCAAGGTAAGCCAACTCACACTTATCGATCTATACCGTAGGGTGGTCTGCTAGGATATCGAAATAGTCTTAAGTTCTTGTGGAGGCGTTCGAGGGACAATCTCAATTGTTTTTGGACTCTTTCAGGCCCTGACGAAGGCGAGGAAGCCGAAACGTTGGCCAATAAATTATAAAAATCTTGGACGGCTCAAACTATCCACCTGTTCGAAGTCCTGACAGTTTTAGAGCAAGGGAATGGGTTTCGTTAAGGATCTCTCCATCCCCCCGAAGGGGAGCATAACCTGTTTAACTTCCCCTGTGGCTTACATGTAGTGAATTCTTCAGGCCAAATGCAGTGTTCGCTAACGTTTCTTCCCTAATGTTCGCAGATGTCCATAAGATTATGATAGTATGAGCACACTTCGAGGGCATGAAAAGAAATAAACAAACAAAAGTTCAGTCAAGAGTGCTGGCACAATGCGCTCACACGTCTGATGTATTCATAGCGAAACATAGGCCGCCACAGATGACAGCAATAGAGGAGGGGTGAAGGAAGAGGAACATATGAATAGACAAGAGAAAGAAACAGCCAAAATCGTATGCTTAGGAAGTGAGAAAGTTCTCTCATGAAAGATCTTTTCCTCTATAGGCTTTTAGCTTTTGCTTTTCCTCTTTCCAAGGCCCATTGGACAACACCAGCCGGTGCTGGAAACCATCTTTTTCAGCACTCTTCCAGGCAAATCACCTTCGGTGGGACCAAAGAGGCTGTTAATGGATAAAAGGCCTTTGGCGCTGTGGGGCCAGTCTCTGCTCAAGTGATGTAGCGTGTTTTCCGTCCAGATGGTAAATCCATCCAAGACGGTCCATCTAACTCGAAGATTCGAGTGGGTGGAGTTCGGAAAGGTT